ACTGTTGATTTCTTTGCATTGAAGGTCCTACTGCTTTGTCCCAGAGGTATCTTAGGAAAATGTCCCACCACTCCTTGAGTAATTCATTGTTACAAGTTGTTTACATGTTTATGCAATATTTTGCTTGTTTTTGTTTTAAACTCACCACATGAAATTCAAGTCTTTGATTTTTCCTTGCTTTACTAAGACCAAAAAAAAAAAAAAAGTACCACCATAAGAGCAGGGCTCTCATTGCTGTAGGCCCAGTGCCTAGAACAGTGCCTGATGCAAAGTAGTCCTTCAACAGAATTGAATCAATGGAGAATAAATATGAAAGTGCTAGGCAAAGAGTAAGCATTCAAAATATGTTACTAATCAAATAAATATGGGCAAAAATATTAAAAACAGAGATGAAGTTTCTATTGGCAGGTTTTACATTTCGCTCTTTGCTAATCCACTAGAAAAGAGTTTATTAAGCATAGTTCCTTTGGGTACCAAATCACACAAAAATATATAGGAGAAAGTATTTGATTAATAATATTAAGGTTTTCCATTCAGGGTCCAGAACAAGTTGACAGTTCAAAGATTTTTGAAGTGAGTGGCCTATAATTTCAAGAGGAGGCAACAGAAACTATGATATGAAAGAATGGATTTTAAATACAAATCTTTGACACACTTTGGTTAAAAGAATATACAGATAGACAAGGTTATTAAATACTTAATAAATCGGGGGCTGACTTCTGGGTTTTTCACTTTAGGCAGGGTAAGATTATTAGCCAAAGGATATTTCTCTTTAGTGCTTAGGAAATATCTGCTAGACCCCAGGAAGGCGCCAGAGACTGATAAACAATGGGCTTGGCTACTGAGGGGGGTTTGAGCTTCACCCTTCGGCTACAAGGAGCCATAGGCAGTCTTTCTGCAGGGTAGAGCTATGAAGAATTCAATGCCTTAAGGAATCTAAACACAATGGAGAACTTTAAACACCTTGATCCCCCAAATTTCTCTTTCAATAGGAGGCAAACAGAGGATACAGGGAAACTACCACAGTTGGTAGGTTTTTGAGCTGTACATTTTTCCACAATAATTTATGATCTGTGTTAAGAGCCACAGTTGAATCTGCAAGGAGGTAATTCTTAAATCAGCAAAGTGTAAGCAAACGGGAATACATATAAGGATATGAGACAATAAACATAAGGATATGAATGAATGAGACCTCTCATAATTTTTTCAAAAGGATCAAGAGTAGGTTAACTTAACTAATGAGCTAGACTGTCCTACTACACACCATCGACATGAACAGACTAGCTAATATCAGAAAAGCACATGACACAGCTTTTTACGAGCAAGAGCATAGTCACTGCTAACACATTCTCACTTCCATTATGCACAACTTGGTGAAGAGGAGAAGGCAGAATTTCAGTTCTCATCCACACCATTGGCTAGGTGGCATGGTACATGGTACAACTGCACAACCTACTTTAAATTATGTTCGGGAAAGTGTCTGTGAAATGTAGATGATGGAAAAAAATAATACATATTTAAGCAACACATCTAACTCCTAGAGAACCTTAAAGCAATCAATCTTTTTTAAATAAGAAAGAAACTAAGTCAATAGCATCTGAGCAACAGATGAGAACTAAAGCAAAATCTGTTGGCTAATGGTAACAGCTTTTGTGTTTTTTGTTGTTGAAAATGTGCATGTAGCAGCAACTCCAATATGCTCGCAAACTCAGATGCAAGAGGCTATGGTAAACAGTTGCTATTTTTACATGGGAGATAAAATCAAACACCACCTTTCAGATCTTAATTTTGCTAAAATAGTAAAAGGAAACAAAACCCAAGCTGCTAGATGTCTAAAGAATCTAGGAGGACCTGTGATTTCTACCAGGGGAAAATATAGCATGTATTGGACAATAAAAGGAAGAGCCAGCTCTGTATTATAGACAATGGAGAATGAACTACCTGAATTAAATCATCTGAAGTAAAATATAAAGTTCAGGCTTAATTTAGTAATATTCTAGAAAATGGGAAGCTCTGAAAGTTTTTATATTTATAGACAAATTAAATCTTCATGTTTTTTTCTTTAACATCTTAAAGAGGACATTTTTCCCTTATAAAATACTACATTATGAAAGTAGTAGTAATAATTATGATAGAATTATATTAGTTTTCTATTGATGCTGTAAAAAATGACCACAAACTTAGTGGCTTAAACAACAGAAATAGGCTGAAATTAAGGGGTTGGCAGGCTACATCCCTTTTCGGAGGCCCCCCAGAAAGAATCCATTTCCTTGATCTTTCCACCTTCTAGAGGCTGCCCACATTCCTTGGCTCATGACCCCCTTCCGCCATTTCAAATATTCCATTTCTCTGTACCTTTGTTCCATAGTCACATCTTCCTTTTTCATTTTTATGCTCCCTTGTGATTACATTGGCCTACTTGGAAAAAATCCAGGATAATCACCTCATCTTAAGGTCGGCTGATGAGCAACCTTAATTCTCCTTTGCCATGCACAGGTACTGGGGATTGAAACAGGTACATCTTTAGGTGGCCTTATTCTGTTTACAACAATATTTAACATTTACCAAATGTTTATTACTTGCCAGGCACTGTTCTAAGCATATAACATGTAATTAAATGAATAAAATTCTCATAATGAAGGTAGATTTTTTTATCATCCGCATTTTTCAGATGAGGAAACTGAGGCATAAAGAGATTAAATAACTTGCTCAATGTTATCTAGGTAGAAAGTAGAAGAGCCAAGATTGAACTCAGAAGTCCATATGCACAGCCTGTATTTTTAACCTCTAAGCTCTATAGCCCATAAATTCTGGCAATCATAATCATTACCTGGAAAAAGGGCAAGTTTAAAATTCAAAATGTCAGAAGCAAAGAGAGTCTACAGAGACCACAAGGAAAAACAAACCAATGTCTATTGAGAAATTCATCCACTGGTATCAATATTATTTGTATCCCCTAAATGTCACTTTGCAGTTTCAAGGACACACACACACAGACACACAGACACACAGACACACACACACACACACATACACTGCAGATATATATATTACTTAAACGAACACACACACACACACACACACACACACACACACACACACACACACTGCAGATATATATTACGTATGTGAATAACATATAAAATAAAATTTTCCATTTCTGTCTGAAATTTCAGCTGAAGATCACAAACTGAGAACATCTGATGATAAACACCACCCAGCATCCTCAAGAGAGATATCTCCTAAGAGTTTTATATGAGGTTCCAATCAAGTATCACCTCCCATTACACACCTTCAGCCCATGAAAGAGTATAGAGATTGAGTTGGAGATTTTCTGTGATGAGGAATTATAGGAGTAAAGAAAGTAATAGAAAGGATGCTTCCATCTCTTACCCCTAACAAAATGAATGAGGAGGCTACAAGAAAAACCCTCAGAGAAGGCAATTGTATGAAAGCAGACTGCCATCCCACTTCCTATTGGTTTGCTTGGTGACTTGCAAACAGTTACTGACCTTCCTCATGCATGATAGCATCTTTTGGAGAGTTTGGCATGTGGCCTTTGAGCTGGGGAGCCACAGTTATGCTTGACTATGCCCTAGAGAAGTCTGAAGATGCCAGGCTGCCCAGGGAAATCCCTATGGCAGGGTCAGGAGGAAGAAGGGCAGTGGGAACAGGCTATACTTGTGTCATTCAGAGGGGCAAGAGGTCATCATACTAGTGAGCTAAGTGGATGCTATAGAAGGACAATAGGCTAAAGCCATCTAGAAGTGACACCATCCAAGAAGTTGATCAGCCAGGGTAAGGAGAATCCAGGGCTGCACTGTCTGAGGTCAGAGGTTCAGGGCCCTAGGGTCTCAGGAAGTCAGTGAGAAAATGAAATTCCCATATCAGTGATTGGTGCAGTAAGGAGCTCCCTGAAAAAAAACACAAAGGTGGCCCACAAAGGGTCCCTGGTGGCCAGATTATACCAGACACAACCCGTTAAGTAAAACTCTATCCTTGTTTTAACAATGTCCTTCCCTTCCTCCTGGTTCTAGGGACTGTGAAGCAGAAGGCAGAATCCTGCCACCACACCATAGGGTCCTTCCTACTTGAGGCCTGAGGGGCAGGGAGGGAGATGTTTTGATTAACATTAGATTCCATGTTTAGACCCTTACAAAAGAGGTTGTTATAATTCCCAAAGCGACCAGAATGCCATCAGCTAGAGAACTGAGATGTCATCAAATTGTGGACATCTTGACAGCAACAATAGAGCATATTTGAAGGTACCTTAGGAGAAGAAATAAAGGTGTTTTTTTGGTTGGACCCTGCTGAGCCATGCCTAGTCAATGCACCGACCGCATATGAAATCTTATCTCACAACC